GTGTGGAAGTTTATCTTGAGAAATATTTTCCCACTAGAGAGCGGTTACCAAGAAGGAGTCACACAGCTAAGCTACTTCAGGCTTGGAGTGCAAGGGGCGGTTTTAACCCTTGTAATGAAGTGGCCTGCTGACATTGGGTTTTGTATCTGGCCCTAACCAGGTTTTGTGCAACTCCATCTCTGGTACGTGAATCCTCTGTTTTGCTCCCAAGCTTACCAGAAAAATGTAAGACCCCAGGAAGGGAATTGGCGTAGATACAGTAGGCACTAACATTCTTTTGGTTTCCAGACTGGGCTGAAGGAAGTGTCTTTGGAGAATTACGAAGGAAGCGAGAAGTATTGTCCAGACACAGCTTATGGTAAGCAAGCAGAGTTAAGCACAGTGGCCCACAGAGCCTTCTCCTGGCCACATGCTATATCTGTAAGAGAGGATGGTCTCTACCTACTGCTGTAACGACTTCTTGGGCCATGGTGCTCCGGCATCTGTACTGGACTGGTGCAAGTCACTGCTGCTTGGAGAAAGAGCCTAAACATTGCTTTATTACTGTGTGATAAAACAGAAGGATGTGATTGATGTTTGTTAGCTGCCTTTTGCTTTGAAGAAGAAAGGATGAGAGCCAGATACCTTACTAAGGTAGGAAATGGAACAAGTAGGGTAGGAGTACTGAAGAAAGTAGGTAGCAAATGAGGGATGCTCTGGAAAGATGGAGCCTGAAAGCATGTTGATTAGAATGCTTTCCAACAGAATTGCAGCTTGCCTAGAGATACTGAGCAGTACTGACAGTATCAAACTCTCTGCCAGAGCCCAAACTGTGCATGTGTCCTCCGCTTCAGAGCCCCCACGCTCTACCTAGCGGTTATTCAGACGTGTTGCTGGACTGGTGGGCAGTGTTGCCTCCAGATGGCTGTCTCTGATCCCCACCCTGTAAGTGATTCTGACTTCAAACCTCTAATGGCCACTTGTGTTGTGAGGAGGGCAGCTCTGCAGAGGCTGTTTTGTGCCCAAGGAGAGCTCTGTTTACACCAATCTTACATATCGCTGTAACCTTCCACTATCGTGTGGCAGATGGAATAATGATTCATGCTGTGAATGTTCTCTGCGTGTTCCTCTTGCGCGCCTGCTGTCTTCTGCTTGGTTTGATCCCATTACATTAGATCACATGTTCTCTGTAGTTTTCCATTGTATTCTTTTTTCCCCCCTTAATGCTCTGTGTAGTTTCTTTGCTCTGGCAGCCAGATTTCTCTCTGAATATCAACCACACAGCCATTCCATGGTAAGAAGAGATATTCAGCAAGTCATCTTGCAAATCCCTGATTAACAGAAGCAAAGCTTTCCACTTTTCTTTTCCCCCCTCCTCTCCCTCCCCTTTTAACATGCTTTCATTATTTGAGTTCCATTCAATGTGATCTGTGATTTCCCTTCCCCTCCCGTTTCGCAGGCCTGGATTTTCTGGTCCCCGTCGCAGGTTACCTCTGCAGGCTGTGTCACAAATTCTACCATAGCGACTCTGCTGCCCGGCTCGCACACTGCAAGTCCCTGATGCATTTTGAGAACTTTCAGGTTAGACCCTTTGGCGATTGCATGGCCTGGCATTTGTTACCCCCGTGCGTGTCTCCTCAGTGCATCCACCACGTTAGCTGTCTTGTCTTCAGTTCATTTCCATCATCCTGGGTGTCCACTGTGCCATAGCTTTCTCCTGGTGTGCTCTGTGTTTGTCTCCCATCACCCCTGTAGATCTAAAACCAGTCCAGTCCTGCTTTCCAGCTACTGCTGCTGTCATCTTGTTGCCCATTTCTGGCTGGAAATCTTCCTCAGAGCTCTGTTTGCTGAACCTGTGGAGTCTGTTGTTCAGTCTAGGCCTATTATCCGTTAGACAGATTACAGGTGGGTCAAGATGGGGAAAGAACAAGAGACAAAGGCTGTTCCTTTTAAAGAAAGCTGGTACCTACGCATCTTTTCATGCGATATTGCAGGAACAGCTCCCTTAGCCCAAAATTGTGGGTGTGATTCATCCATGAAGGGGCCTGGTAAAATCAGATGCTTACCTTAGAAATCTGGAAATTTAACATTACTGACTCTTTATGTGATGGAAACTGCAAGCTGGTGAGAGTCCATTTGGTCCCCAGGGTCAGCCTGCAAAAGGAAGTCAGTCTGTCTGTCTGTCTGCTACCCTATCCTAGAAACTCCTTAGCACAAAGCTCTGTCAGCTGATGCTGTTCCTTTGCTTTACTGGCTCCACCTAAAGAAGCCATATTGCCCCTTGCTGCTGTCGTATCTAGAAGCTTTTCTTACTGGCCTGGCCTGGAATCTGCCTCCATTGTTCTGTCCTTGTTGACTTGCCAGGGGGTGAGGGGCCTGGATTAGTACCTTGTTGGTGGGTACGCAGGGCTTGCACTGTCTCTGCCCTCTCCCGTGACCACTGCCTGGGCCCTGCCTGTGCAGAAGAGCGGTATTCCCCGACCCTGGCAAGGAGGGAGGCTCCCACAGTGACTATGCTCTCTACCTGCACTCAAAACCTGCTCCAACAAAAGCTGCTGGTGCTTCCCTACCAGGTTTTGATAGCATTTAAAAAAAAAGAAACCCAAACACACAGACACACACACACACCAAAACCTCCAAAACTTAATTGTTTTTCTCTAGTCTTCAGGCAGGTTAACTATTCCTAGTCAACTGTCACTGCCTCCAGCAAGGGGTGGGGTGCTGCAGAAGCCAGCACTTAGAGCAGTGGATTTGGAACGCCAGGTAGCAGAAGAGCACAGCTGTTCCTTCATGGTTGCTCATCCTCTCCCACTCCTGCAGCTAGTCATTTCAGGAATGAAGGAATCAGCCTTGCAGTTTTCCTAGCTTATTTTAGATCAGTTTAGAGTGAAACTGCAGCAGCAGTGTGTAGGGCCTCCCTTTTGGTCCACTTAGAGCTGAAATCAGATGCTCTTCAAAATGGATGCCAGACTGCCTTGGAGGGCTTATTTATGATAAGAGTCCAACCTTAAATATCGGCAGGCAGATCACTATTGTTCTTGGCTGCCTAGGTGCCTTGGGGTTGTCACAGTCTGACAAATCATTGCCAGTTTCTGGGGTACTCTCATCAGAGTAGCTCAGCAGAGGGTTTCAAAGCAGAGAATTGTTGGCTAGTGAGGCAGTTCACAGCATCACTCTGAAAATAAATTGGCATGCTTGCACCTGGTTTAGTTTGGGTACAACATTATGACTCGACTGGTGTAGTTCCGATGTGTTATGATACTGTGCATATCCCATTATTCGAGGACAGAGAAAAAAAACAAGCCTGCAATGATAAACTGAATTACAGTGTAAAGCTGCCCATCTGATGTGCTGTAATTCCACATTGCAGACTACAGTAGCATTGCTTAAGGCAGTGGTGAAAGCCAGTGTGCTCAAAATAGTTTCCTTAAATTGTTAGGTCTGATGCTAGTGCCAGTTCAAGGGATCCTTTAGAAGAATGGTAAAAGTGGGTTGATTGAGGAGGGAACTGCTGAGGAAAAGAGGGAGCTTTGTTTTATTGCTTTAGCTTATGCTCTGCCTGGATCTTGAAGACCAGATTCCTACTGCATGTTAGATAGCTATACTGAGTTGCTATTTTTCTGAAATCCAGTCTTGAAAATGGCTAGTAGCCATTTTAATCTCTTTACAGACCTCTGCTGGTTCATCATGATAGAGAGTGCAAATGAGTCATTTTATTGATGACATGCTTACCTTTATTCTGTAGAGAACCTCAGTACCTTGTAACAACAAGATATTCTTGCTATCTTAGTGCTTCTGTCAACAGTTTCACTGACTGCACAGATTGTATCAACAGTGTGAAAAAATCTTAAGCTTTCAACTTAAGTCTTGCTTTGGCTGATAAACATTAAATCACACCTTTGTAGCTGAGGGCAGTGCAGAGTCTCGTATATCCAGGGTACATGTCCAGAGTTAGGTCCTGGCAGTAGCTGAAGCAAGAGCTGTCACTTGCACTGTTACATCTACAAAGTCATGAATCTGACTGAGATTAACAGTTGCCAGAACATAATTTTTGTCTCGAGAGCCACAGGTCTGCCATGTACTTGCTCAGCATTAAGTAACGCGAGAGGGACTTCAATCTTTAATATCGCCACTTTTCCTCACAGGAGCTGACCCTCTTCTGCTTGAAAGCCTCAGCAGCCAGGCCAGGAGAGCTGCTGAGACAAGTCGTGCCCCTGCAGATTCTAGCTGCCACTTACCACTGTTTTTGTGCAGGTTTTCCTGGACCAGCTGCTACTTGCTGCAGTGACAGCAGCTGAGCTGGGCTCGTCTCACATCGGTTTGTTTGTATTTGCAGAGATACAAGGCAGCGAGGCATCGTGCCACAGCTGCCTACCCCGAGGCTCCTTTGCCTTCCCAGGGCTCCAGCTCCCAATTGCTGGATGATCCGAAACAGCCTCCTGCTACAACAGCAGAGACCAGCAAGAAGATGAATGATGATCATGGGATAGACAAGGAGGGTACGGAGCTGTCAGCCCTGCAAGAACAAGCTTCGAGGTCTCTGGAGGGTAAGGGTGAGCTGGCCACCTCTGTAGAGGCCAAAAGCCTGGCCAGTGTGACTGATGACGTATGTGGAATCATGGTTGTAGAAGATGAAAATCTACAGGAAGAGAGCAAATCCACTACCACTGGTGCCGACTGCCCACTCCCTGAAGAGAACCGCACCGTAGGGGAGTTGCTGGGACACGCTGTGTGTAAAGAGGAGGAAGCTGATGTGGCCGGGCACAGGGAAGGCACAGACGACTGCCAGGATCCAGGGAGCGAAGGGGGTTTAGGACAGAATGAGGCAGCAAACCCAGGCCAGGAGGCAGCGGCAGAGCCTTCCTCCCTAGCCAAAGGTGAGACAACCAGTCTTACCTCTGCTGGGTGCAGACGCTCTAGTAGGCGCAAACCCAGATAGAGTGGCCTTAAAGGGAGAGCCCTTTACATATGATATTTGCTGGAAATGTTTATTTTCTGAGTCTTTTAATAGAGCAAAAACCTTCAACTTTACTGCTGTTTTTATTTTAAGAATAAAATAAGCCTGGCTTTAGCGTGTCTAATACAGGATGGTGTTGGTTATTACTTCTACAGTGGGGATACAACAATTACGTGGAAAGACTGATGCTTGGATTGTTTAACCTGAAAGAAGATGGTAATGTGATTTCCACAGGGTACAGAGTTCATGAAGTAAATGGATGCAGACTTATTTCTCACTAAGAATTCTTTGTAGTTCCTCTCGTTTCTTATCCAGGCAGAGGAAAAGTTTACCTCTTGTGAGACTGTGTGCCCAATTCTGCTCCTCAAAACAGTTTCCTTTCAAAGATGCACACTCTGAGACAAGCAGTGTGTCCTGAGCTAGGCAACAATGTGCATCTTGGTCCTTTGTTAATACTACAAGGCTTAATACAGTCTGTTCTCATAGTGGAGACTCTCAGGAACAAATTTTGTTTCAAACTGATTTTAATAAAACAGATTTCTTATAAATAACTTCTTTAACTTTCCAAAAAACTCCTTTAACTCTACGGAAATAGAACAGTAAGACTTGCTTCCCGGTGCTGGCCCCAGGTCTTCCTGACAAGATTAGAATTTCAGTCCAGAATGCTCATGTGTACTCTTGTCAAAATGTGCAGGGAGGACTCTGCTCTGGGCCCATGGCAGGCAGGCCCCTCTCTGCTCTCTAGCTAATGCTGGGCTGGGGGCTAACCATGCTGCTCTGCCCCTCTGTAATGCCCGAGTCCTTAATGGCAGCTTAAGGAGTTAGGCAGTTTCCAAACCATCACCCTGGTAGCTTGTCTTAACTGCTTGGAAGAGGACAGTAGTGTCTAGTGATCTGGGACCATCTGCCAGTGTTTCGTACGTCACAATATGAGTAATGGGGAAGCTGTAGTTTTAAGGCAGGAGCTGGCCTAGGGCCTCCGTCTCCAAGTCTGTCACCAGAGTTACATTTAGGGGCAAGCCTGGAGTCAGGACAGCCCCTGCTTACTGTGCTTTTAGAGGGAAGAGGCTGGAGCCATAACACTCCTTGCTCGGATTTAACAGTGCAAAAGAGCAGAGATCATTCTTCCTCTTCGTGAAGAGGGCCTGCTTGCAAGCAACCTGCATGGCATCAGGTTTCCTACAACCAGTTTTAACCAAGTATCAGTGCCAGGCTCATGTTGGGGAGTGAAAAGAACGAGCTCTGCTACATCTACCTGTGTGCTTCTGCACCTATCACAGCTAAAGAAAAACAGAACATGGAGGTGAATGGCAGCACACAACCATAGGAAGGAACAAGTAACAGGCACAAGGTACCTCTTCTATTCAAGTTTTACGTTAAATTGGTGACCAGTAAATGTCCCCTTAGCAATACCAACTGAGAGTTTGTGGCCAGCATGCTAGGTGGGAGGCTGTGAGCCCTGAACTTCAGATTCCATGTTCTGCTGCTTGCTCTGCTGCTGGAACTCGAGGCGGGTCTGGCGGTTGGACTCCAGCAGTTCTTTCAAGCAGGCGTGTAGATAATCATTCTTCTCCTCCAGGTGATCCAAGCAGGAGTTGATCTGGTCCAGCATGGAGTTTATTGCTGCATACTCTAAAAGGAAGGGAAATGAAACACTAAACAAAGTTAAGTATATTGTCACCGCAGTCAGTGATGGCAGTGAGAGCTCTTGCAAAACATGCCTAGAGCATTTTGGCTGTGCTTTTGCCAAGGAAGTTTGGACCAGATCATCCTTGAGGTCCCTTCCAACCTGGTATGCTATGATTATCTGCCACTGGGTGGGTGAAGTAAAATGTTACTAAATCCTGCATGTGTTTTGTGCCCTGATCAAACTAGACCACTGGGAAGCTGGAGGACTGGGAACAAGATCTCACGCAAGTTACCTGGGCGGTACAAACCCACTGTTGGTGTATCTGACAGCCTTTGATCTCGTACGTGAATAGCTGATGGCAGGCTGAGTGCTACTGTGCAGAGATCTGCACTGCAACAATACAAAATAAATCCCAAGGACAAGTCAGCCTTTTTAGCCACCTTAGGGATCATTTTTCCCGATGAGGGTGCCGGCATTCTGGCAGCGTGCTGAAGTGTTACCATTCTGTGAATTAGTTGTGCAGGGCTCCTGGGCCAGGATGTGCTTCACAAGGGCCCAGCTGGGGTCAGACTGCCAAACCAGCAGAGCTGTTGCAGGAGCAGGGTGCTGGCACCGGTACTGTTTCCAAAAGGAGGTAAGTGTGGGGCACCGAGTTCAACCGCAGGATTTTCATGTGCCATTAAGGCTCTGAGTACTTCAGATTAAAATCAAACTCATTCGGGACGATCCTGACAGTTGGTTCCCTAGGTGCAGTTTCTTATTCACAGAATTTGTTCAAGTGCAGAAGCATGAGCCTCAGTAAGAGGGCATGTCACAGGGATGCGTATTAGCACCGTTAATCAGATGAAGATAGTTGTGCTACTGTGATGAAACACTTGCTTTTGGATTGCTCCAAGAAAGAGTCACACAATCCAAAAGAATAAACAAACTGAAAAACCAGACAAGATAAACCTCTGTTGCCAAGTTCCTTTACTCAAGAAGCCCAGGGGTTACAGGAGACCCCAAGCAGAGCCAGTCCCACGTTCCTTTCTGAAGCCACCGAGGCTGAGTGACTGCAGGGAGGTAGGCACTGAGCTGCAACCTGCAGGCTGATGTTTGTGAGGATCGTGGTTTGCAGGACAGGGAAAGATGCCTACGTAGGTGGGACAAGCCCACACCTCGCCAGCTGGGGCTGGCTCCTCTCCACCCAGTTCCTCTGAGCAGCTGGGGGAACGTCAGAGCCAAGCGTGACGCATGCTGTGCCTGGCTGGAGCGCTGCTCTGAGCGAATGGAGAACACAGTGAAGAGGACGAGGGTCGAGCCATGCTGAAATCCCCCAGTCTCACAAGCCCAACTTTGCCCCTCTCAGCTGCCCCCTCAACACTTCCATAGTCAGGGTGCCCTGGTGCCATTACCAGCAGCTTTAAAAGAACGGCCAATATTTAAATACTGCAGTCATTTCCATTATTAATAGCTAAGGAGAAGTTTCACTATTAAAAGTATTTTCTTTATACTACTTTGGAGCCATTCACAACAGTTTTACAGCCTTTAATTCTTCAGAGAATTGCACATGCTGCATTTAAACTTGTTTATAATGAAGTTGGGCCTTGCAGGTATATGCAGATGTAGCATTATGAGCAAGAGCACTGCTGATGTCCTTGCATTTAAAAGCCAATCCCACAAACACATTCTTTCCAAAAAGGGGAAATTACCAGTATTTTTCAAACCCTCCTTCAAGATATGAGAGAATGTCCATGAGTTAGAGCTCTTTACTTCAACCTAGTATTTGATGCATCATGTTGCAGTGAACTGGTGAGCAGATCCTTGGCAGGTATGGTAAGTGCTTCTGACAAGTGGTATCAACTTGGCAAGAAGCCTCTAATTACAGCAGGAGCCTAACTGTTCTCAGTGCCTAAAGCTCAAGTGAAGGCTACATAAATTGTGTAGCTTTGGGAAGTGAAAAAAATGTAACCATTTTCAAATGAGCTGTAAAAACATTTTATTTGATTGTTTTCTGTTAGTTGCAATCTTGGTGTATTTTTGTGGAAATGTAACCACATCCCCTAATGAAAATGTTGACTGGGAGTACGGCAATTGCGTTGTTTGTTCCTCTGCATTCTTACAATAACAGTTGCCAAAAATGAGGTTTCCTATTTGAGATCAAGGAAGTGATCCACTGCTTCAGCTCCACGAGACCAGGAAATACCTACAGATCTTTATGGCCAGCTATGGCACACAGTGCCCCAGCTAATTACAAACAGAACAATTTAATGCAGAGACTCAATGTAGATCAGATTTTGTGACTTTTTCCATCACATCCACCGTGTCTCTTAGCTGTTCAGAAAGCCTGAAACACCAATCACTGTGACGATGCAAAGCAGTGAATGTTATTGGGGTGTTTCAGGGCAGAAATGACTCTCCCGTCAGTGCAGGGGGGTCACAGCCACAACTATGAGATTCGCCTGTGCAGGTCACATCTGAAAACTGAACGGTGTTTTGGGAAACCGCGTAACCCAAGAAGAGTGGCAAAGTGCTTACTCTCGGAAAGATTTCCAATTTTAAGAGTGACCAGTACATACACATTACAGCTCTGCTGTTGTTTCACTTCCTCCATTGGCTTTTTCTAACTGGACAGGACAATATCAGCAATGTCATATTTAGGCGCTGTAGAAATGCCCAAAAATGGAATTTGCCAAGCTAATCGCATTAAATCACTTTTTCCACCCACGATTATTTTTCCCAGCTCTGCCCACACGATCCATCCTGCGGTTTCAAAACCTGAACAGCCCCTTTCCCTTCGGTCACCTGCACTCCCCACACCGGAAAAAGCCACAGGACAACCTTTTCCCAAGGAAACAAAGAACAAAACAACCCGCTGGGGCGGCCTGCGGGAGCTCAGCGCACCCCCCGCCGCCGGGCATCCCGCTCCCTGCGAAACCTCCGGGAACACCGGGGCCCCGCCACCCGCGCCGGCGGTCCCGCGGCCCACGGGCACAGCCCCGGGACGCCCCCAACGCACCTTCCTCCCCGAAACCGTCCCCGTCGTCGTCGTCGCCGGCGCCCACCGGCACGTGCGGCTCCCCGTTAGGCCCCGACATCGCCGCCACCACCGCCGCGCGTCGGGCCCGCCCGCACCGTGCGTCGGTTCGCCAATGGCTCGCCAATGGGAAAGCGCGGAGGCGCGCGCGTCACCGCCGGCCAGGCGGCCGGGGTAAACCCTGTGGTTAGCGCGCAACGGCGCGGGCGGGAGCGGCGGGAGCGGGCAGTTCTGCTCTGCCCCGTTGTCGGGTGTTTTCCACAGCGCGCCTTTGGGCGCGAAGGGATGTTGGTGCTCAGGGGCCGCCATCGGCACCCAGCGCTTCTTTTCCCCAGACAACTTATGATCTAGTGAATGGACCGGCGTTTCTGCCCGTGAGGAGCACCCCCGGGGCCGGCCCGTGGATGCTGAGGCCTCAGCAACGAGAGCTTTGCTGCTGAGCTCCAAAATGCAGCCCCGTCACTTGGCGCTGCTTCATCTGAGGCACGGCTTGAACCACGCTCAGGTCACCTTCAGGCCTCCTCTTCCCTGGAGAAACGGGCACAATTCACTTTGCCCTTCCTTGTCTTTGTCCCAATATTGGCTGTACCTTGCAGGCCCTGACCAGATCTAATTGCTGCATGGTTTTTCATCCCCGGGAAAGATGTCACTGAGATGAAAATAGCTTGCAATTAGAGCATTAATTCAAGCAGCACTCCTGAGATAAACCCGGTTTGAGGACTCCATTATTAAGTGGGTATTTGGGGCAAAGAAGAAAGAAAAGGTTATGTCCTCATTTAACATCGCAGCCAGCTCTTCTCCTTTCTGTGGGGGAATCCTGCTGCGCTGCTGGATTGGGCCCACGTTGTGCCCCAAGTAGAGGAATTGACCATTAGTGTAATTAACGGCTGTGACCACGCTTTAATGAAAAGGATGCCTTTCAGCACTGTTGGGGTGTGCTGGGCAGGACACACTCTCAGGGAACTGATGCTTTTATTTCCACTTTATGCTTTGGCGTCTTCTCAGCGAACCCGGAATTTATAATTACCACAGGAGAGCCGGGCCCAGCCAGCCTCGCCGTGCCCGCTTCGTGTGGAATTCAACACCGGTGTGAGGTGTCCCACCGCAGCACGTCCCCGCTGCCGCCATTTCGGGGGCGGGGGGAGGCGCGAGGCGGTCCCTTTAAGCCACCCCCCCCGCCCGCCCGCCCGCGCCGTGCCGGGAAGATGGCTGCCGCCGGCAGGGCCTGGTGGGCAGCCGCGCTGCTGCCGCCCTGGCGGCTGCGGGCCCCGCGCCGAGCCTACGGCGGTGGGGTAGGAGGAAGAGGAGGAGTCGATGGCGGGAGCGGGAGCCGCCGTCTGCTGCTGGGCGCTGCCTTCGCGCTGGGCGGCGGCGCCGGCCTCTACCTGGCCGGGCGGCAGCACCTGCGGGAGCACCGGGCCGCTGAGGTAACGCGCCGCCGGGCTCCGCTCGCCGCCTGAGGCGGCTCTCCCCGCCCGCGGGAGGCGTTCTCCTTCCCTTCCTGCCGCTCTCATCCCCGCCCTTCGCCCCCGAGCCCTGGGCCCGGCTGCGGCCGTCCGCCCCGGGAGGCAGCGCATGGGGGAGGGCGCGGAGCAGTTTCTTCCAGCTCTGCGGGCTAAGCGGCTGCTTTTCCTCCGGTTTCAGGGAGGAAACCTCTTAAAATTGTATAAATGAGGCCCCGGCAGCATTCTGCTTGAGGAGCTTTAAGGAATGCCTGTTAGAAAGTGAGAGCTTGCTGGGATGTGAAACAGCATCGTCTGTGCTTGCATTTTCCCAGCACCCACGGAGGGTTGTGTAACTCAATAAAGTGTAAATGAAAAGCAAAGTGAGATGATCGTATTTGTTTTTATAGTGTATGACCAATGATTGGCATGGTTCTGTCAAATCGCTGTTGGGAAACATCCCTCACTTGCTGCCTCACTGTCTGTGTTGCCCTGGTTTCTCCCTGCCTTGTCTCAGTTGAGCACAGGTTGGTTAATCCCAGGAATCTGAATTTGGACAGATACATGCCTAAAATCAACAGTAAACTCCTGCTCTCCCTACCCTGTGGCCTCAGCAGAGGTTGGAGGGATGTGTGAAATTGGATTTAAATGGCTACATAGGTTTTGGTTTAAAGATCATTAAAATAGGGTTGTGCTTTTCTTTCATTTCAGAATTGTGTTTAGAGGGGTAAAATGTCTGGATTTAACTTCTTTTCTAGCTGTGAGTAGGAGTTTCTAGCGGATTAAATAGATGTTTAGAAAAACAGGTATTTGGTCCCCTTGGAAGGTGAATATTTGTGATGCCAAAGCATCTCTTAGCCAAGATATTTTGATGATCAGATGTTGAAACTGAATGTCAATGACTATGACTTCATGACAAAATTAAGGGTGGAACAAAGGTGGTATTTATATTTTTAGTAGAAAATAGAATTTTCTGGTTTCTTCCTTCCCCAGCTGCCTGCAGGGAGCCTGCAGCTCACACTCTACCAGTATAAAACATGTCCTTTCTGCAGCAAAGTCCGAGCTTTTCTTGATTATCATGGACTTCCCTATGAAATTGTAGAAGTGAACCCGATAATGAGGAAAGAGATCAAATTCTCCTCCTACAGAAAGGTGCCTATCCTGCTAGCCAATGCTGGAAGCCCTCTGGTAAGTCTTTACTGTGTTGAAAGCTTGATTCCCCCCCCAGCAGTGGTTTTGGAGGCTTTGTCTCTGTCATGTCTCTGTGGTTTATCACATGCAGTGTGATCTTTAGATTATCTTTTATTCTCAAGAGCCTATGATTTGTTTCTTGCTTCATGGTTTCCTATGCCTTGGCCTTATTAGAGTATTGTGTTGGCCTTTCTTACAAAGCATGTTGTTTGTGTAGTGACTAATGCAGTGTTTATCTAGCTTCTATCAGCTCTTATGTAGGACATATCATTTGTATTAGCAGGAACTGCTTATATCTTATGGGAAGAGAATGAGATCTCAGGAACACTGAAGATTTAAGATTTAGTTTGGCTTTTTTTTTTCTTTTTTTTTACATTAATGTTGCTTTCCTCCTTTACTGCCAAGAGCCTAAATCCAAAACCCTTCAGTATTACATGTGCACCTGACTCTCAGGTTCTCTGTTGTCAGAATGAAAGACAAATTTGCAGTGATACTCTGAAACAGTCACAGAAGAGATCTGAATGTAGGGCTGTCTTTAGATGTGCAGGGGCTCCTGTGGAAATGTATGAGGCGGAAAGGGACTGCAGTAGTGACTTAGAGCCTCAGTGTGCAGGGGAGAAAGCTTTGAAGAATTTTGTTTTCAATTTCACCAGCTTCTTTTAAAAGTTTGGTTTAATTCTGTTTTTCAGCAATTGAATGACTCTTCAGTGATCATCAGTGCAATAAAGACCTATCTCATTTCCAAGTAAGAAAATGGGATGATGGGAGAAGAGTTGAATGTGAATGGTCCTAACAAACTAGAGGTTGAGAAGACTCTCTGAGCTGGTCATAAGTATTTTGCTGACCTTGGTCTCTGAAGCTCTGGGTGTTTGGCCCAGCAGACCTGACCCTGGCTGTGGTGGTGTGGATGGTGCCTATATATGTTATGATGTATGTGCAGTAAAGCAAAGCTTTTACCTTTCAGAACTACTATTTTTTCACCTTGGAGATTTTATTTGCACAGAACCTACTTAAACATGGACTAGCGTTAGTCCTGGAACTAAGCTTATGTTTAACCAGTTAAACATCTAGAATGAAATGAAATTTCTGTGCCGGTGGCCTGTCAGTTAGGTCTATGCTACAAAGCACTTGAGACAATGGTAGGTAGTGTTATGCCTGCAAAAATGTCTGTACTGACATAGACAGAGGTATGTATGCTAAGAATAGTTATTTGCAAGTAGCTGTTCCAGTCTCTTTTCAAAACTTCTTTCAAATAGACTTTGGAACCTTGTGCACTTATCTTTAGAATAATACACTTTGAAGCATGTATCTTTCTGTCCTTTGCTTTCGCTCATTTTTGTAGCAGCCAGATCAGGTGCTAACTGTGTTTCTGTCCACAGGCGGAATAGCTTAGAAGAGATTGTGTCCTTTTATCCTCCTATGAAAACTGTGACTGAGCAAGGCAAGGAGGTGTTTGAGTATGGGAATAAATACTGGCTCATGCTGGATGAGAAGGAGACAAAGCGAGTCTATCCTGTCAAAGAAGTGAGAGTGTAAGTGCACTTAAGTTTCTGGGCTCTCCAAGTAGTGTCACAGCCTCCTCCAGATGTACTTGAGGATGGTGTAGATATAAAATCCCACTGGTGCTGACAAATCCTGTCACGCCTTGCTTAGTGTTTAAAACCTCAGTAGTTAGAGTGGTTTTGTTGTTTCTTACATAATTTGAAACAATTCTGTTAGCCTAGTTACCACCATCATGACATGATCATGCTCACCTTGTTGCCTCTGGTTTCCTTCTTGGCTTTTCTTTTATGTCACAGTGGAGTGCTGCTATGGAGTGCTAGTTTCCCTTTCTTCTTTAGTTCTTACATTGGGAGGAGAAGCAGTGCTCTATCTTACTCTTAATTTTAGTTTGAGATTGGAGGAGCCTTGCCAAAGATAATGATCCTGAGTGCATTTCAGAGAGGTCACCAGAGCACAAGGCTGGACAGAAGTTTTTGACACACTTGTCCTTGGTGGAACCTCTGGCTAATGCCACTGTGATTCCACCTGCTTCCTGTAGCCCTGCAATCTGTACCTCATTCACTGAAAAGTCTTTTGAATGCTTTCAGGGAAGAAATGAAGTGGAGAAAATGGGCAGACGATTGGCTTGTTCACCTCATCTCCCCCAATGTTTACCGTACCCCCAGAGAAGCCTTGGCATCTTTTGATTACATTGTCCGTGAGGGGAAGTTTGGCACCGTGGAAGGTTTCTTTGCCAAGTACATGGGGGCTGTTGCCATGTTCTTCATTAGCAAGAGGCTGAAGAAAAGGTTGGTACCACCAACACCAAGTATACAAGAGGAATAGCTCCTTAATCTCCTTAGCCATGAACTCCAGATATTAAAGAACCTCAGTGTTTTAAACCAAACTGTTTCATCCAATGTGAGTAACAGCTGTACTTCTTTAACTGGAGGTACTGAACCATTCTACTCATCTACTATTTAATCACTAGCTGCCCCTTCACTCTCAAATATGTTCATAATTCCCAGGCAAAGGCCAGCCCATAAGATTGGTGATGATAAAAGGTTAAAGAAAGAATCAGACTGGTGTCTTCAAACTGGTTCTTCTCTTTATCCAGGCATCACCTTCAAGATAATGTCCGAGAAGACTTGTATGAAGCTGTTAATGAGTGGGTAAAAGCTGTTGGCAAACATCGACTGTTCATGGGTGGAAACCAGCCAAACCTTGCTGACTTGGTAAGGAGTTAATTCCTGCATTTATTGTGAGGCATATTGCAAATTATACGGTTGCTCATCTCTGTGAAATGGTTTATACAAATATAGGCAGAGGAGGTGAGTTACCTGACATGCATTGTCAATGTCCTTTGTGCAGTAATACAATTCTCACGTGAAGGGGACTTGTGTTCCATAGGGCTGTACTTGTTGTTTTCCTCCAGAGAAATGTTTCCTAAGATGGAACCTGCAGTTCCCATATGCAGGTGGATGTTACTGATCATGTGGAAGCATGATAAAAGCAGGTTACAAGCCAGGACACTGCTCTAGCCTGTGAATGCTGGTGAATAAAGCCTCACACCTGCACAGGTTTTATTGCATTCCGTGCTGCTGGGGCTCCCTTTGCAGGCAGCAGTGCAGAGTGGAGCAGTATTCATCCCCATCCACCAGCAGTTTTCCTTGGAATGGGAGTGAAGCATTTCATATCAAGGTTTGATGCAGAGATGGGATTAACTTTTGCCTCATAACTGCATGTAGATCCTGATCTTTCCTTACTCTTTTCTCATGGAAAAACGTGAATATTCTTAACTACCTTTCTGCCATTGTCTTCCTTGCTAATCAGAGTGGTAAAGTAGGTGGCAGGACAGGGAAAGAGCCTCACTAGCTAGGCTGTTGAGAGACTCGCTGGTACCATAAGCCATTCTCCACTGCTGACTCTTTCAGTATTGTTCTTTGTCTTCTGGCACAGGCAGTGTACGGGGTCCTCCGAGTCATGGAAGGGCTGGAAGCCTTTGACGACATGATGGTTCATACCAACATTCAGCCTTGGTACCAGCGCATGGAAGAAGTCATTCAAAAAGCTGAAGTTGCAGTCTGATGCCATCTGCATCTGCCTTCTTGAAGTACTTGCATGGTAAAAGACTTCAGAAGGAATGGCATTTATTTTCAAAGAGTTGAATGAACTGGTTACACCTCATGGACTGACATGCAGGTGCAGAGACTGTCCCGTTTAGAATATCGAGTCTCAGTGAGCAGAAAGGATGCGGCTGGGTATATGTTTGAACATGGTATTTGGAAGGACAGGAACAGGTAAAAGGAAGGGGTCTTGGACTCTAATGGGAAGAAGAAGCTCTGAACTGAAAAATGCAGCAAATAGGCTTCTTTTAGGTGAGAGCCATTCTCAGTGCAATTTACTGTAAAAGCAAGATGCTCTTGGCTAGTAAGTGTTACAGCCATATCAGATATGGTGGGCCTGAGCAGCTTTTGCTTCAGGCTGTCTTCCACTACTCATCCGTGTCATCTGAAGTGTTTTCCTGACTGAGACACTGGATACTAGTCTTTAAGTGACGAATTTTCCTGCAGTAGAATCCTGTAAGCCCAGTGCTGAGGGAACTGGAGGAATCCACGGTACTGGGAAAGGCATCCTTCCTATGATGGAAATGATGCTGCACTTGGCAGATTTTGTGCTTTTACTCTCCCATGTAAACGGTTCTTTCAGTACTGGATTCTGTACGGTTGGCAAGGATAAAGGCTTGCTTCTTTCTGTGCCCTTTGTGAGATCTGTGAATTCTTACCGTGCCCTTTAGGCTCAGGAACCACACCCTGCCCAGAAATGACTCATGCAGAGCTGTTATAGGAAAGACTCATCTTGCGTGAAATCTCTGGAATACCCCTGAAAATCAGTTTGGTTTTGCTCTGGAAAAAGAATGATTAAGAGGAATCTGCATGCCCAGGGGATCTCTAGATGTATCTGCCATGCAATAATAACAAAAGATTTGCTGTTGTAGCAGTTGGATTATAGAGAGTCTAACTGACCTGTGCTGGCTAGAAATGCCTGATGTTCGTCGTAGTGAGAGACAGTGCAGGTTTGAATGGGAGTAATTAATTTCCTTAATTTTTCTGTTTCCTCAGAAGAAAGGGAAGGTTTCAGGGAAGTTGATTTGCTGAGATATTTCAGATGCAGCTTGAAATCAGTCTGTAATGCAGCTGCTTGCACTGTGTGGGTTTGGGTCAGGTGCTGGGCGCCTTTTCTGGATATAGCAACAAAGGCTGTGATAGAGGGTGTGGGTTTTTGTGTTTTTTATTTATTTTTTTTTTTTCAAATGTAAGTCTAGTTACACATTTGCTTAAGATCTGACATAGAGGGAAGAAAGAAAATGTTTACAGTAAAAACAGATGGGTTGCTGGTCTGTGACTTGATGTATTGAAGCTGTTCTGTACTGCCGCTTGTGTTCTGTGGTATCAAAGGAACAAAATCCAAGCAGCTGCTGTTTGTTTTTAGAAAAATGTTGAACGCACACAAACGGGAGGCTTGAAGAAACCCTTTATGATCGTTTAAAGTACCGATGTAAACCCTAGATGGAGAAAAAGCGTTTCACAGCCTCCCGCGACAGAACTGAGGAGGTGAAACGCCACCAGCTCCGGGCGCGACTTCTCCGCTCCGCCCGGTGTTACCCCCCCCACCCCCCCCGCCATCCCGGGGGTTCCCGGGGAGCGCGGCGCCGGGCCCGGCCGCTTCTCGTCACTATGGCGACGCGGGCGGTTGCGGGGGGCGGGACGTTGTGACGCAGCGGGGCCGGATCACGGGGGAAAAAGGTTTGAATCGCCCAATGGCGGAGCCGCGGGCGGCGGCGCGGGGGCGGCCCCGGAAGTGCGGCGGAGCCAACTGCCCCCGGTGCTGCCTCCCGCCGCCCCTCTCGCCCCGGCTGCGGGGTCCCCATGGCCCCGGCGGCACCTCCCGCCGCCCCCCCGCCGCCGACGAAGGCCTCTTGAGGCGGCAGCGGCTGCGGACCCCGCGCGGCCCTTCATGGTGAGGGGGGCTGGGGCCGCGGGGCCCTGTGAGGGGAGGGCGGGCGCGGGTCCCCTCGCCGTTTGGCCGCGGGCGGGTCGCAGCCCCCGGGGATAGCTCCTTCCGCGCCGGGTCGGTAGCGGGAAGCACCTCCTGCCTTGGGGTGGTCCTTCCCGCTGCGAGGGAAAGCGGGAGCTCTCAGGCGACTTGAAATAGATAACGGAAAACGGGCTGGGTGTCGGGGCAGGGGTGGGGACGGGCTGCTCGGGGCGTGGTGCCACCTCCGGGGGTTTTCCAGCCCCAGCCTTGGCTAAAACCCTGCTCTGACCTCAAAGCTGAGCCTGCTTTGAGCAGGAGTCTGAGCCCAGATTAGGTCCCTGCCAGCCTGAGGTAGCCACAAAGCTTTGCAAAGGCTCTGGACATGTCAGGAGAAGTTGCTTAAACTTCTGAAATAAACCTTGTTGCTAGGGCCAGCTGGGTGACAACATTTCTTTCACTTGTGGTGATCCAAAAGCTCCATAAGTTCTCAGTCAGTGCTGTAGCCCATGGGAACATTTGGGCCTGGGGGGAGTTTAACCCTTCCTTGGAAAAAAGAGGATTAAAACACCCATCAGTGTTTGGAGTTGTTTGTAGCAAGAAGCTGGAGAATCTTGTTCCTTCAGAAAACTGCCGCTTCCTGTTTCAGACTCTTAAGGGAAGCACTGCTATGTCTTCCCCTCTGTAATTCTCATAAACCTGACATTATATATAGGTGTGTTTTGTCTTAGACATGTACTGCTTGAAAACAGATTCAGTATTATTAGTTTTATTTAGAGTAGGTTATTACATGAACCTTGGCAAGCTGACAAATTAATCAGTGATCTGAATTCTAATCTAACAGAAGTATTGTACAAAATTCTGCTCTACCGCATTACAAGTAACACTTTCCTTGTAACACTTGTTCTTAAGTAGCAAATGATGAAAGAGTGTTACCCTAAGGTTAGCTAACCAAGCCTGATATCACAGAATCATTGAATGGTTTGGGTTGGAAGGGCCCTTAAAGACCATTAAGTTCTAACCCCCATCGTGGACAGGGCCCCCTTCCCCCAGCCCAGGGGGCTCCCAGCCCCGTCCAACCTGGCCTTGAACCCTTCCAGGGAGGGGGCAGCCACAGCTGCTCTGGGCACCCTGGGCCAGCGCCTCATCCCCCGCACAGGGAAGGATTTCTGCCTTAGATCTCATCTACATCTTCCCTCTGTCAGTTTAAAACCATTACTCCTTGTCCTACCCCCACCCCCTTTCCTGTCCCCCCTTTAAGCCCTGGGAGGCCACTCGAAGGTCTCTCCGGAGCCTTCTCTTCTCCAGGCTGAACCCCCCCAACTCTCTCAGCCCGGCCCCCCAGGGGAGCTGCTCCAGCCCCTCCAGCATCTTCGTGGCCTCCTCTGGCCCCGCTCGAGCATCTCTGTGTCCTTCTGCTGTTGGGGGCCCCTGAGCTGGCCCCAGCATTGCAGGGGGGTCTCCCCAGAGTGAAGCAGAGGGGGAGAATCCCCTCCCTGGCCCTGCTGCCCCCCCTGCTCTGGCTGCAGCCCAGGGCACGGGTGGCTTTCTGGGATGTGAGCGCACATTGCTGGCTCACAGGCAGTTTTCCATCCACCAACACCCCCAAGTCCCTCTCCACAGGGCTGATCTCAATCCACTCCTCACCCACCCTGTGTTTGTGCTTGGGATTGCCCTGACCCATGTGCAGGACCTTGCGCTTGTTGAACTTCATAAGGTTTACAGGGACCCACCTCTCCAGCCTGTCCAGGTCCCCCTGGATGGTATCCCTGCCCTCCAGCCTCCCACCACACCACACAGCTCGGTGCTGTCGGCAAACTTTTTGGGGGTGTGTTTGTGTATCACCACTCTAATAAGTGTACTTCATCAATAGACATTAGTCCTTTGGAGATCCTTCCTTCCTTGCTCTCATTTCTTCCAGTCCCCCAAGTATCACCAGAAAGAAGCTGCTCATGCTGTAGCTGACTCGCAGTTGTGTGTGTACCACAGGTCAGCCAACCAGTACACGTATATGCTGGGCAGGCAGTGTCCATGTTGGAACATGAGTCTGTGTGGTGCTGGGCTCAGCATGAGTGTTAATTTGGATGCATCTCTTCAGCCTGAAAAGCTGTATAAACCTACAACCTTAACATTTCTGTCAAGTTTTACAGAATTTGTTGATAATGGCAAAATTTAGGGAGGATGTGGGGCCTGGGTAGGGATGTGCAGATATCCTGGAACTGGTCAAACCTTGTTTCCTTATGAAACCAGTGTAAAATTACAGTTAGAATTTTAAGGTTTGAGTTACTCTGAGTAAGGCCATCATGTAATAGTACAAAACATCTTGTAGTGTTTAAACCAACTTTCATCATCAGTATGTAAGGAATTATAATCTCGGTCCTTCCCTCATCCCATGCTTGTCAGAGGAGGTCAGGATATACCAACTTTTGTTGTTTGGGTTCATACATTTGATGTGTTTGTGCCTGCATGTTGCCTTAAATTGTAAGGAAGAGGATGTTCAGAAATTGGTACCTTTTCCTATTAGTGGTCATTTTATTATTTCTGTATCAGGTGTCCCTCATCCATCAACAATGAAGTGACTTCAGTCTCTGCACAGAGCATAGTCTCCAGAAGAGCTAAAAGCTTTAGAATACCTGTAAGTAATTTTTGCCTAGGCTGATGAAAACCTTTCTGCCAGAATCAGATTAGTGCTGCTGGTGGATTTTTGTAAGATTTGCCAGTGCATTATACTAATACCTCAACTGAAGCATCAAGTTCAAAGGTGATGACTTTGCGTCTCTAGGCTTTTCTGTGTTGTATTAGATACTGGTTATGGTTGTGCTTTTTTCTGAAGACTAAAGAAATGCTGTGATCCAAAAGCTTTTAAGCATTTGTTTAACTTCCAAAGGACACTTAAGCACATATGAAAGAGTTTACAGGTTCAGGGTTCTAGGATGGAAGGATCTGGTGGTTTCCTGTTGATTTTTCTAAACTAAACTGTTATGCTAAACGTTATATTAAACATTCCTCCCTCCTTCAAATTTCTCTTCATACTCAGTGTTGGTTACTGGAAAACCTTGATTTGCTCACTTGCTCTAAGACTTTGAACTCCAATGACTCTTACAGACATCTGCCATCAATCCAACTGTATTTGGTCTTTAATAACCACATTAAAAGCAGAAAATACCAGAAACAGAGAAATTATTTGTATTAATCCCAGCTTTACAGCAAAATAATGTGCAATTCAAAATGGCAGATGCTACTGAAAGAAAGCTCAAACTTTAACCAAAGCTGGCCATTGCTGCTCTCTGGCACAGAAGGAAGTGTTGTTATTTCCAGTTTCCTCATTCACAGGTTTCCTTTCATTGTATTGCCCTTTCCCGTTTGTGGGAGAAGAGCCATGAAGAACCGTTCCTCATCTCCCCCTTTGCACGTCCATGTGGATGAAAACACCCCTGTCCATGTCCATATTAAAAAGGGTCAGAAAACCACACCTGCAAAATGCCAGGTAGGAGTGTGTAGCTGGGTGCTTGTAAGGGCTACAAAGAGGAAGGTGAACAGTCCTAGAAGCTTCACAAAATCTTCAACGTCTGGTTTACTGTTGTATTAGAACTGTAAGACTTGAATTCATATTCAATGGTGAATTTTTAGTAACATGTCTTCTGTGTTTAAGATGATTTAAATATAGAATATGTAGTTACTTTTCATGTTCAAGTGTGTGACTGTGAGGAGTATCGCTTCCAATGTGATGTGGTTTGGGGGTATTTTATTTTCTGGATTTGTTTCCTGATAATGTTTTTTCTTTGGTTTCATCCCTATTTTTTAGGAAATGTTTAGGGAAAGGTAATATCTAGGCATTTCAAATTCCATCTTGATTGTGTTAAAATAAATGTATTTAGAAAAAGTCCGGATTCAAACCATCTTCTGGCATTAAGCACCTCAGTCTGCTGAGCTATTCAGCAAAGAGTATCTCTTCATAACCTTACCCACAGTAGGTAGAAGGCCATAGTGAAGTGGAGTTTCTAGCTATCTCATATCCTCTTTTGTAGCTGGATGTTTATGTAAAGTTGTTCTCAAAAGGTGATGGAAGTTGCTAGCTTATTCTTCTTTGTGTGCAGACACCCTCTTCTAAGTCCTCTGTTAATTTTGTGTTTGTTGCTAGTGACAATTATCAAAATGGGGTAGGGCCTGACAGTGAAACCCATGACTCCTATTAATTAATTGCCCATAGGGAATATTTAGAGTATCTGATTTTTCTCTAAGTTTAGAATCATGCAAAAACACTTTAACTTTCCTTCAGTTAGAGCGCCTTGAGTTCAGTATAAATAAATGTGGATCGATTAGTTGACTGCAAAGCAGGGGAACCACTTCAGGGGCTTTTCGTAACCAATCACCCTGCACTGTTGTTTTTTCTCTGGTAGTGCTGTTGTCAAATTATATAGCTGCTCTTTTGTGAGATGAATATGGATTGGAGAAGGGATCTCCCAGGTTTGTTCTTTCTTCACATGAATGGGTTGTATTGTGGTATTTTTTTGTGTATCTCCATACAGAGGAGTCTTCCTTCCCTGCCACCCCAATCTCCCACCCCTGGCCTGCTGGGTAAGTCTCTCATCCCATCACAAGTGCAGGTACCCAGTGATATAACAGAGTTGCTACATGATAAACAAGAAGAATTTACCACATCAAGCCATACTGTCAACTGAATCCTTCTGGCTGGTGTTAGCCTCCTCCAATGGCTGCTGGCTCATCTGATCTGATGTATCATGTGAAACACCATATGATATTTTTCTATGAATGATGTTTCATTTGTTTTTTCAGCACTCAAATTTTTAAATGGTTCTTTAAAAGTCTGTGATTTATTTTATTTTCTCTTTCTTTAGCAAAAGCACAAACAGAAAATGAAAGGAGATACCATGAACGTGTGCCGAAATGTCCGGGTGAAAACTAAGGCCCCCTGGATGCCTCCAGGCAAAACATCTGTCTGGGAGTCCACCTGCAAATGGGAGGTATGGCTGAATTTGCTCTTTAAAACAAACCTTCAGGTTTATCTGAGGTTGAAGAGAACAATTGTGTAGTGAGGGAGCTGGGCTGATCTGAAATAAGGCTATTGTCACCTGCTGTGTATTTTAAGTGTTTTCTATAAATCTTCTTCACTTTTTAATATAGAAAAATTGGAAATTAGTTAGCAGCCTATGGCCATAGGATGCCTTTCTGCCTCAAGAGGCCAGACAAATTTATTTGTTTATTGTAGTTTTACTAGTCCCCTTCAAGATCTCATGTGGAGGCACAGCGAGGGGCTGCTGTTCTTAGTCTCTTCCAAAGAGTGGAGCATTTGTGTAGTGTTGTGTAATATTTTCTTTCTCATCGGTTGGTAGTTTTGCCTTTTGTATTCCTGGCTCTTCCTAGATGAGAATTTGAACTTTTTTTATTTTTTCTTCTTTTTCTGTTCTAGTCTTTCTGCATTCTTGACTTTTCTCTGATGGAAATGAAAGAGGGGTTTACAAACTTTTTTTCCTTACTAGCCTTATTACAGTGATGCAACTGCTCCCTGTTTTTAGCAGGGTTCAGGCTAGAACACTGTTTATAACTTTGTACTAAAAAAATGATGCTCTCTATTGCTTTTCTACCAGGGACCAACTCACCGCCTAGAAATTACACCTCCAGATTCAGAAAGAATGCTGTCAGCATTACGCCTGAGTGACCTCTCTACAGACGAGGAGGATGCTATTTACTGCAAAATGAATGAATATGAAAAGAAGATAGATAGCCTGATGAATGTGGTGGGAACGCTGAAGAATGAGGTGAGAAGACAGTATAAAGACCTGCTGACCTGGGCATTGTAGGGGATCATTTGGCAAGAGGAGGCTGGAGTCAAGTCTTGGTGCAATGGAAGACTACTCAGGCTGTTGGTAGCTTGCTTAAAAAAAAAAATCAATCTGAATTGTTTAGAAGAGCTGAACTATGGTAGTGAGAAATTTACTAAGCCCTACTATGAAACATTTTAAAACGTTATCCATTTAATAAGGTATTGCTGTGCTTCAGTTTCCAAAGAATCTCTCTTCTGCCCGAACCCAAAATCTGAAAAATGATCTTTCCAGAAGGTGAAATATTTAGTATGTTGATGTTTTATTGTCAAAGAACCCACTTACTCAACCAGATTGTACCTTCTGATTGTGTTTCAAAATACGCAACCCAGTGATGATGTGTTTTTCAGATAGATAGCCTCTATGTTCTTGACACCACTTAAAAAATGGGTAGGAAATGTTTCCAGATTTCATAAGATGCATTATGGTGGAGGCAAACTGGATTTTTGACTTTAACACTGAGGGTATCAAATCTTGTATTCTTATTATTTTACTCAAAACTACATGAAGTTCAAATCAGTGAACAAGAATGGGATTTGAGTCAAATAGAATCTTATATTAAGCATTTTCCATTTTATATATGCTACAAAATTTAATGGAATTACTTGTATGATTGTAAAACAAAAAATCCATTTTGATACTTTGAATAAGTTAATTTAATATGTTTGGTGGTGTCATTTAGATAAATCCATGGTGTACGATCACATTAATTTTGTTAGCTTTGATTCTGTGCAAGCCAGGGAATCTCCAGTCATTTTTTTGCTGCAAAAAAAGAAAGAAGTCTGGTACGGTAGTTCAATCCCCTTCTATGTTTTCTCTTCTTTCACATCTTCACCTGTTTATAGTGCTCTTAACTGCCAAATGGGATGCATGTGTCATTTGTGAGGAATAGTAGTCAACTTCTGAGCCCCTTCAGCTCTTGAGTAGTCTGTACACAACTCCAATCACACTACCAGCAGTGACACTGAGCTGCCCCAGAACCTCCTGAGTAATCCAAAATGGGTAGATGGAAACAAAATGCCAGGGGCTTTTTAGGTTGATTTCACCCAGTTCCCTGGATCTCACAAAGCAATAGCGGAGCAATGGGAGCCATTCCCAGCGTGTGAACTCCTACCAGAGCTCCTTTCCTGCTATGTTTGAGGTCTGACACATGTCTCATGCTGATGACAATTTCTGGACTTGGAGCCAGGACAACTGTGTCTCCCTGTGTTTGTGGGACAGAAGGTACTTCCAGGCAATAAGTGAATTATGCCCTCTGTGCACAGGAACAAGCTGGAAGTATCTAGGGAAAAAAAAAAAAGGCATGGTCATTTGTTGTTTGGTGCAGCTGAATAGCTGGTTCACTGGTTTGAAATGTGGATTCCGTGTATCACTTTAAAAGCACCCAGTTTGTCTTAAGTTATATTTAAATATTTTCATCAGGCCAAGCTGCAGAAAAAGGAGGAACAGCAGCAAATGACAAAGCGTCTCCTTGAGGAGCAGAAAGAAGAACTGAATGAGGTCACACAAGAGCTGGTAGAAACAGAACATGAGAATACACTGCTCAGGCGCAATATTGAGCGCATAAAGGAAGAGAAAGATCTAACTGTGTAAGAAAGCTCCTGTTCTCCATTGTTACTGCAAGTAGTGATACTTACAGAGCACCTACCGCCTTTATTGCTGACATTATTTGAGGTTGTAGTTTGTACCCTGGGTTGCAGTGCTGCTGAAGAAATTATGTTCTTGGTTTTTTTCTCACCTTTTAGAAGGGGGACCTCATATGGCAATAGCGGCAGAGAAGGGCTCTAGCATGATTATTGGAATGGCAAAAAACTACTCTGAGAAGAACTTGAGAGTGGTTGACTTGTGTGGCCTACTGGAGGGTCATCCTAGCTCTGCAGTTCATATCTTGAAGGTTAAAAAATGCTGTTTGAATTGGGATGATGTTGGTAGAAAAACAAATAAACAAACATAGTTGCTGAAAATTAGAGGAGAATTTTTGTGAGTTTTAACCCAATCAACTGTATATCAGTACAGCCGTCAAAGCTTCTTGTTTCTCTGATGACTGAATTCTCATTACAGGCTACAGAAAAAGTACTTGCAGCATGAGAAAGAGTGTTTGATGTCCAAGCTGAGTGAAGCAGAAAGGGATGGAGCAGCAGCAGCCAGGCAGATCCATGCCCTGAAAAATACAATTGGGAGACTCAACATTGTAGGTGTTGTCCTCTTTTGTTCTTCCCTTTACTACATTGTCCTGTTATATGGCTGTCTCAAAAATGTAATGTTACGGTTGCTGATCCAGAAGAATGTAAGGAAAAGTGGAGGATTTTAACATGATTATGGTGTTTGCTGGTTTTGTTTGGAAGTGGGGTATTTGCTTGTATCAGCTTCATACATTAATTCCATGTGAAAATTATTTATTTAAATTTTTTGGTCCTCTAGGAGAAACACATGAGCAGCTCAGACATTAACACACTGACAAGACAAAAAGAGCTTCTCCTCCAGAAACTGAGCACCTTCGAAGAAACCAACCGGACACTGCGAGAACTTCTGAGAGAGCAGCACAACCGTGAGGTGAGCAGTGAGTGCTGTGTGTTTGAACTTGGATGATTGCAGGAGGCTATGTTGTCCTGTGGACTGAAATGGAGTTTGAGCGCTTTTAACTCCCCTTTTTTTTTTTTTCCCCCCCCAACCCTATGACCCTGTGTCATAAAGGACGGATTGTTGTTTTTTTATCTCTGCCTACCTCACTGAGTGAGACTGACTTTTCTGCTGTGAGGGTATTAGGGCATCTAAGTCTTTGTATTAAAAGGTATAGGCACTACTGTGTTGCCAACTCTCTCATGTGGATACAGCTGTATCTGCTGCTTATGCTGGTCTGAAATGTTGCTGCTACAGTTGCATTGGCTGAAGTCTGAGAACTAGATGTGGCCTTAGCTAATGGGAGCCTAAAGATGCTCAGAAGTTTGTTTTTGTAGGCTGTATGAGCAATAACAGAGAAATGGTAAACGGTTCCGTACTGCTTGTAAGAGCAATACAGAAATTAAATTGCTATTCCTCCTGTAGTTTATATTCCATTTGAGAAAAGCAGGCCGATGGTAACAGTTCTTTCAGCCACCAGTGAAATTGGATAAAAGGACTAAGTTCTTCCACACGACTTTCCCTGAGTAGCGGGAGAGTTTGGAAAGATCTTAAATTGCCCTCATGCTTTTTATTATAATCTTTGAGAAGTGGAAAAGCTTTCTGAAATGGGTGATGATATGTGAAATATTTAGCAAATTTGATGCTTTCGGGTATCTTCTGAGAATTGCTGCTCCAACTGTAAGGAAATGGTTGATTTCTCCAGTTCCATTTAAAGAATCTGTATAAAACTGACTTTTTAGTTAACAATTTTTCTCACATATTTCTCTTGTAGAAGGATGCTCAGAAGATACTGGAGCGGCAAGGAGCACTGCTGAAAAGACTGGCTGACTCAGATGCAGAGAAAATGGTAAGCAAGCCATAATCTCTCTTTTCCTTTTTTTTTTTTTTTTTTTTTAATGATAAAGCAGAGAGATCTAAAATGACAAGCTCTTCTTTGTCTCGTATTCAACCATTCACTGAGTCTTACACTAGTGCCTTCTAGACCAATAAAAAATATTTTGGCTTTTGTGGTAATCAGAGCCACTACATTGCTCCTCTGGTTAACAACCTACATTTCAAAGTGGATAGATTTCTTAGCCCTTTGAAATATGGGGACTTAGAATGAGGATAGCACAACTGAGACCTATATATAAGAGCACCATTAGGATTTATAGTATTCAGCTATAAAGGAGAACCTATGATGTTTAAGCACAAATGATTCTGCTTAACTTTTTTGATGGTACTGAATGTACAAAGCAAGAATTGTACTACATATTTATTTAAAAAGAAAACTCTAAGTGTGGGAGAGAAAAAAATACCTACTGCCAAAATACTCCTGACTGTCAGGATAGAATTCTTCAGTTTGGAAATCACCTGATTGTTTCTGTATGTTTATCATGTTATACTTAGAGATAGAAAAGCACAAAGACAGTAAGCTTTGTGTATCTGCCTCTGTCACTGAATGAGTGAGTGACGTGGTGCCAGTTTTTGTTAATTTCCTTATCTGTAAACTGAGAAAAGAGTCCTTACGTTGCCAGAAGTTATAAAACTTGCTGTGAGACATAGGCAATGCCCATTTTTGTCTATGGAGTATATAGTCCTGCCAGATCCTCGTTATTGATTGTGTATCCTATGCCCTGTTACACAAATGCATGTGTATCCCTTTTGCTTTCTGCTTGAGGAGAATGCAGCCTGTTTTTCTGGGCTGAGGATGCTGTTGCTGTGGAAACCGGGCAGAGTGCTGTGGATCAGAGGGTCTTGGGAGGGAGGCAGTTACACCTCTTTCCCTCCACCTGCACACCTAAATGTGTTTGTTACTTAACATTTGAGTGGTGTCTGTTTTCCCAGCAACTTCAGATGAGGCTTCAGGAGAAAGAAGAAGAAGTGGACAATCTTACTATTCAGATACAGGCAGAAAAGGTAGTTTACTTTTTCTTTTTTCCTCTCCCTGCTCCAATTCCAGTTCTGTAGAACCACAGGTAGTCCAAAATATGGGTTTGCACTTGAAGACGATTACTTTTTAAGGGTTCACATGACTGGCTTGCTTATAGAAAGCAGACAGTTACTTATTCCCACACAGTTGTACATTCCATATTCTGCCAATAAAACCTGTTACAAAGATGAATAGGTGGTATTCTCTTTACTTGGGCTTATCACTGAGTTGCCTTTCTGTTTAAGGTCATGTTGGTTCCTGATATCAAATTCCAATCTGTTCCTCTGTTTAGGAAGTGAAAAAGGAATGTAGCAGAAGAGATTGGATATGAAGGATGTTTTGCCCTAAAACAAATCTTTCAGGCCAGTCATTCACATCTGATGCAAAATAAAGGGCTACTCATTTTTTGCCCATTTTGTTAGAGTAGAGGAGATGTGAGGGTCCATCTGAGGCAAGTGGAGGTGGCTGGACATCATTCAGTGAAGAAATCTGACACTGTTACATATTATAAAGTGTTCTTTCTATTAGCTTGTTGAGGAAAAAAGTATGTGTCCTGTTTGCTTCTTATTTAGGACCAAGCAAAGACAGCATGCGAACTCTCCAAATCTATGGAGAGTGTGAGAGGCCATTTGCAAGCGCAATTGCGAAACAAAGAAGCTGAGAACAACCGTCTGACTATACAGATACGGGTATGTTTTCAGTGGTCCCTGGGGATTGTCTTTTCATTTACACTGATGAACTGAATTGATTGACCAGGGAAGTAGCACTCACCAACTATTCTTCTACTGTGTCTGGTAGCCTGAAAAATTGACTGGTGATGTTTGTGGCACTAACACACCCCATACTTTTCAAATGAAGTAAGAAAAGAAAAGGCTTTTCGCTTTTGATGCATGCAGCAAAATCATAGCCTTAAGGTCTATGTGCATTTATTAAATTTTTTTTCTAAGTTAATTACTACATAGTTATTTAAATAATGGTTTTGGTTTAGTCAAGCATCATGACAGATCATAAACTATTTAATTTGCTTTCTGGGAAAAATGCTGTGCCATGAGTTCCTGTGTTTGATCATATTCATGCATGCTTTCCACAGTATTAATGAGGAGGAAAAAGTTCCCCTGGTTTATCGTGTTCAAAGGCTTATATTTAACATAGCTATTGATGTTGTAATGAATGTATGTATGTTAATGATTTAGAAGAGCTTTAATTCTGTTAAGCTTTATAGCTGCATAAAGCAACATTATTGTATATGAGCATTTCAAGTAATAAAGTGAATGTTCTTGGGTAGATCAAAAGACTGGTAGACCAGTATTTGTCTTAGGAGAGGAAATCAGTATGTTAGAGAGCAGTTTATGAAAGAAGAAAGGAAGATGTCATGCTGACATGTCTGTCAGCATTAGGATAGGATCGTGTAGGTGAAACATGATTGCAAGTACCTCCAAGGCTGGAGGTTGGGGGTTTATGCCCAGCTCTCTCCACTGTTTCTAGGAAATTAGTTGCTGCTTTGGGTGTGCATGTATAAGGACATTATTCCATGTTGTGTGTTTTCTTCCCCCTGCTGCAGAATCTGGAGCGCAGTGAAGCTCAGCATAAGGCAGAGGTGGAACATATCATGGAACAACTGAAAGAACTAAGGCAGAAGGCGGACCGTGATAAAGAGGCCCTGAAGAAAGCCATCCGTGCACAAAAAGAGCGGGCAGAGCGGAGTGAAGAGTATGCAGAGCAATTGGCTGTCCAGCTAGCAGAAAAGGTACCTAATAATACAGGAGGAGAGACCTCATTTCAGATCATGCATCTAAATCTTTAACTTCTGGTAGCAGCTCTGGGGACAGTCTCTGCTTTAAATTAATGAAAATTATTTCTGTCTTATGCCTTGGCCCATTTAAGCTAAGTTTAGAACAATCCTAGTTTTCTCAGCTGTTACTGTATTTGCTGCATGTCCTTAACTTAGGACATGCAATAACTTAGATCATACTGATCTAGCAGTTCTGATTTTTCGCCTGGTTCTTTAGAACCATCTGAGAGTTGACAAAAGCCGATGAAGTAAAGCCCTGTGGTCTTGATTGAAAATTCGGAATGATGTTGGTTGCTAATAGAGAAACTAGTCAGAGCAGAAAAGTACAAAGACTAAGAGATGTACTGGAATTTCCTGTTGAAAAATGACTGAAGGATATCAAGAAAAAGTAGAAAAGTTAAGACTAAAACAAATAAGAAGGGAACATGGATTTCTCACTACTTCATTGTTTTTTTCTTTGTTTTTGTTAGCATTCCAGGGACCTGAGCCACTTGTAGAATCTTAGGTATGCTTTGTATTTATGGTAGTTCATCTGCCCTCAAAGAGGATTCTTCTTTTGCTGCTGTTATGTCTGTTGGCTGACAGTAGTGTTGGAGAACACCCCTCTGAAAGATCAGGAAGAATAAAAATACTTGTATTTTAAAAAATATTTTAAATATTTTAAAAGTATTAGTGAAATCTCTGCACATACCATGCTTACCCATATCAGCATCTCTGCATATTGTCTGCACATCCCATGTCCAGTGACATTTTTGTCATCCTTGCTCTTTTCCTCATGTATTTCTTTTGTTTGATAGGACAGTTATGTTGCTGAGGCACTGTCTACTCTGGAGTCCTGGAGGAGTCGCTACAACAAAGTAGTAAAGGACAAGAGTGACCTTGAACTGGAAATTGTTACGCTGAACAGGTTAAAATAAAATTAGTGTGGAGAAACAAGCATGAATGGGGATGAGTTCTAAGTTCAAGGATAATTTAATTGAATTATTTCATTAAATTGAATAATTTAATTGGATTGCCTGTAAATATCCAAGCAAAACCAGCACTGCCTAATGGCTAAAGCAGTTTGGAGAGACAGAGAGATGTGACTTCTGCTGCTGACTTGCCACAGCAAAAGCAGGCTTTTTAAGGATTTGCTGACCCTTAAAACTCTCTGTTCCTTTGCCATTTTGTATAGCTTTGAAAGAATTAAGGTTATCTTTCTTTTGAAATCTGTTTGAGATGCTTGAATGGAAGGGATTAGAACAGGTAGGTAGTATAGTTTGTCCCAATTTATTGTGAAGGTAAATAAATGTGTTGGTATCACTGCAGTACAATTGTTGCTGCAGGAAGAAATAGTTGGGTACGAGACAAGAGAAGTACCTCTTTATTCTGTGTGTCTTGGAGGCAACGCATCTGAGCTCCAGGGGGACAGCTCAAGTTCATTTTCAGCAGTCTAAGAAAATTGAGGTAGTAGAGCAGTGTAACAGATAGGTGTGCATACATGACTGGAGGAGGAAGATTAAAGGTTAGGGAAAAGCCATATTTCTGAAGCTAATTTTCAAGGGTTAAGAGTCTTATTCTTTCTTGTCACTTAAGGATTTGTTTTCTTTCTGACTGGCAGCCGTGTTGCAGACTTGCTGGAACAGCAGACAACCCTGGAGGACAAGATGCGGGAAGACAGAGATGCTTTGGTGGATAAATTGCATGAACAGACTACAGAGACCACTTCTTTCAAAATGGAGAATGAAAGGCTAAAGGTCGGTTTTTCTAGGAGTCTGAAGCTGAAATGCTAGGGGGAAAATGGAGAAATTATAACAAGCTGCTTGGCCTCTGAGGACAGTTGATTTGCACCCATTGCTGCCATTTAGTTTCAAAACAGTTTTACCATAATGTGAGTATGATAGGGCAGGTAGGCAGGGAAGAGATATAAAGAAAGAAAGTGTACATTCTGGCCAGACTGGGTTTCTTCCCATTTTGGCTGGGAGTATCTCCGGTCCAAGCACTGTTTCTTCCAGCTGGGATCTTACATCTTGTCCTTACATCTTTATGCTGCTAGCCAGAGAACAAACAACTGTAGCTCATGCAGAGAGAATGATAATCTCCAGAATAAAAAAAAAATGGCTAGCATATTTCTCCTGTCATCTTTTACCACTGGTGATCTTGTAGGTGACCTACATAATTTTCTTCTTGGAAAGCTAGGCATTGATTCAAATAAGTAGTGGCCCTAATCCAAGTAGCACAGCTCATTCAGGCAAATGGAAAGACTGCATATCCATCCCAAACTGCTGTGCTCTGCTGGTATAAATCTGGCAATCTACTGAAGTCTGGAAAATTTTACCAATTTACACTGACAAAAGTGTTTTTTCTTAGTCTAGACAACGTTAGGCAGTTAGCATGGTAGTTATTTCCAAGTGCTCAATGGAAGATGTTTTCTGTTTTCAGGCTAGCGTGGTCCCAATGGAGGAAAAGCTGAACCAAACGCAGATGGAAGTGCAGCAGCTCAGGATCTCTGTCAGGAACTATGAAGGGTTGATTGAAACCTACAAGTCACAGGTAGGCATTTTATCAAAACCTTCAGCCCTGGCACAAACATGTTTTCTCCCTTCAATCTTGTGGCTTGTTCTGTAATGCTGTAATCCTGTGTTTCCTCTTTGAGTATGTTGCAATTCCATGTGGTTTTGGTTCTTTTGTCTCTATTATCCTGACTTTTTCTCAAATGGCAGCATCCAGACTGCCATGTTCTGTATGCCGAAGTGTGGAAGACTTGTCTTTCTCACTGTGTGCTGGTAACTTGATCATTAGGAAGAGCTGACTCCTACAGCAGAGATCTTGATTAATGGAAAAGACTGGTTTTAATTATTTCACTTTTCCCTGCTACTTTTCAACAATAAAGGAAAACAGTGATATGCTTTCTTCTGCCTTTTAGTGTGGCAGGTACTGTTCCATGGATGCCTTTTGGGGGGGATTTTAGATATTGTGGTAGTAGGAAGATAAAGCAAGAGGGGAGAACATTTGGTGGGAAAACCAAATGATCCAGGTGGCAGAAGCAGAAAGTGAACTTCCAAATGCAGTTCTGGGGTGGTGGTTAGTGTGGCAAGAAACCTGTTGCTGATCCTTGAGCAATTTTAATTACCCCAAAGCACTGCACGTTTGTTGAAAACTATATATAACAGATAGAGTATGTGGTTTTTTTCATATGTCTAGGTGTTGAAGACCCGAATGGAAGCAGATGATGTGGCAGCAAAACTGGAGAGGTGTGATAAAGAGAACAAGGCACTAAAGGATGAAATGAACAAGGAGATTGAACTGGTAACTATTCTTCTAAAGACCAATATGTTGTAGAAATTAATGGATCTTAATATTCTGAATGTAGTGAAAAATGGCTGTGAACAGGAAATAAAGTTTGCCTTTTCCAGTAGTTTTTCTCAGGACTTGTTCATTCTGCAAAATTTATCAAACATCTAGCAGCTTCTTTTTTACTATAAGGCATTCTTCAGAGGTGTTTAAATTGCTTACTGTGTCCTTTGCTGCAGAAATAGTGGTTTAGAACAGTGGAATATGCAGGTTGCACCGTTGTCTGATGTGGAACAGGTGTCCTCAAAAAAGAGCTTGTACTTTTAGTACAATTGAAGCCCGTGATCCAAAATACTCATTCTCACTCTGTCCATAGGGAATACCAAATCCTAACATAGAGGCTTTTGAAGTAAGAGAAGTCTTCAGGCTTTGAATTCCAACACTGGCCAAATATCCACACAGTGCCATCATGGTTGCAGACTAACAAAGCTTCGTTGAAGTTGAGAATTTTTTTAGTCTTCACCTTATGAACATTTGAAAGGTCCTTATGTTCTCTTCTTTGACTGTAGGCGCGTAAGCAGTTCCAGAGCCAGCTTGCTGAACTGGAAAAGCTGCCCGAGATCCTAAAGATCACAGAGACACAACTAGCAGAATGTCAGGACCAGCTTCAGAGTTATGAGAAGAAGAACGTGGACCTGTCTGTCATAATTGCAGATCTTCGTCAGAGGGTAAGGGACTGGCAGAAAGTACCTTCATCACTGCAGTCTGCAAGTCTTGAGACCAAGATGAATTTCTAATCACAGGAAGGTTCAAACTTCGTCTCTGTTCTCACCTCTTTTTGAAAAGATTAAACGTGCACTGCAAAATAAAGGTGTGTGCCATGTCTTTGTGCAAGAAGTTAGCGGCGTAGCTGGTAGCATTCCTTACTGTTTGAATGGTTTCTCATCCCTTGATGCAGAACCTTACTGGGACTTGAACAGCAGCAGTGACAACACTTGCTAATGCCAACACTTGCTCCTCATACTTCCACCATCTCATCAGCTTTCCCTCCTGTGGTTTTCTGCTGAAAGTGCTGTCCCAACCTTGTTTTCTCACCCTGATTTCAGGTTGTTTTCCCTGTCCCTGTTTTTTGTGTCCAGGAGGACTGTGTAGGTATTGCAGGAGAATTACAGACAAACATGACTTCTACAACCATGCCTCAAGCAAATGATCTCACAGTCTGACTGCTTTACTTTGATTGATGTGGAATTATAAATCTTCCTGGTATTTTGGGCTCTAATGCCTTTGTGGGCTGCTGTTGTGTATATGGCTGGTTTTAATGTGTGTGCTTTGCTGTGCTTACAAGTGGCTGCTCTGCATGCAAGCATTTATGGACCTGACTTTTCATTTACAGTACAGAAGAATTTTCTCATACCTTTCCAAACTGGACGCACCACCAAAATGGATGTTTAGTGCTTTGCTTTTCTATCCACTGTTCTTTTTCTGGGACTTTCTGGAAATCATTAATTGAGCATGTTTCCTTCTGGAGAGCTGCATACATTTTAGGTGGTTAGTTGTGTGTGTATAGTGACTACTCTGTAAAGTAATTGCTTACTGTAACTTTTAGATTGAGCTCCAGGGTGACAAAATGGAGATGACAAGAGAGAGATATCAATCTGCCCAGGAGGAGAAAAAGCAGCTCACCTTGAAGGTGGAGGAGCTAGAAAGGTTAGAAATATTAGGCTTTCTTGCTCTCTTAACCTTCCATTTCCATCCTCTTCCCATTGTTTTTTCAGGGGATTGAAATAGCTTCAGTCTTGTTCCAGTCCCCCACATGTCCAGGATTCTGTGCATTTGCTTATCCCACAAGGATCTATAACCAGTAGCTGTCCACTGGAGAGAGTTAGTTGTTTTTGCAGCACCTTTTATGAATGTTGTTAGAAAGGGTGATGACATACACAGCAGATAAAACAGCTCTTTGTCCAATCTAGCCTGACAGTTTTGAGGTTACTGAGTATTACAGTGTTTATAAATTCCTTTTAGTGACGATGTCTGGGAAAATGCAGGTATGTGAATACTCTGTAAGTCCTTCAATCTTTGAAATATTGATTTGAGAAATGGAGGTGTGTTTCTTGGGGCTTTCACCTTTCAAGGGAGAATAGAATGTATTCCCAAACTAGTCAGGACCTGACAAAAAGGCAGACTGAAACACACTCCATTTAAAATGAATAGGTTTCCTTCCCTTATTGTCTTAACCTAGAAAACTAGAGACAACAAGTGCGCAGAACATAGAATTCCTTCAGGTCATAGCAAAACGTGAGGAGTCGATCCACCAGTGTCAGCTGCGGTTAGAGGAGAAGACCCGTGAATGTAGCTCCTTGGCACGTCAGCTGGAGATGGCCATTGAGGATGCCAAAAGACAAGTAAGTAATTCCTTGTGTTTGTGAATTCTTCTAAAACTACGCAGACTGTAAAAGGGGAGCAGCAAGATTGCTGGAAATAACTCCTCATGATCATTAAAATCATCACGTTTAGTGAAATACGAATAGTAAAATGTGGTGGTACTGTTTGTCAGCTCTTAAAGCATTGAAACACTGAACCCCACACTCCAGCTTGAACAAAAGAGAAGAAAGCACAAGACTAAGCTGCTTCTTATTTATGAGAATGTGTCCAATTAGACTTTATAGGGCTTTTATGGGCAATAGAGTGGGGAAAAATTATTCTTCCTTAGACCACCCTTTCACCAAGTTGTTCTGTCGTTACATGTAGGTGGAACAAACTCGAGAACGAGCAACCTCTAGAGAGAAGGCAGCCCAGTCCAAGATCTTGGATTTGGAGACCCAGCTGAGTAGGAATAAAACAGAGCTGAACCAATTGCGTCGGAGCAAAGATGATGTGAGTGACTTGCAAGGGATACTCTTGCTGTGCTTGTGCTGTCCTGGCAGTAGTTGCAGTCCATAAACCAAGGTCCTATGGACATGCTGCAAAAATTGTGCACAGCTGTGTCTGAATGTGATGTGCTGTTATATATGTCCAAGACAGATGTGTGATATGACATTTCTATTGTATCACTGATTCAGGAGCGTGGACTCTCATTTGCTTATTACTTATAGCAACGATCTGAATGAACGTGCTCTAAACATATGTGTGTTTAAGGAAAGAATCAGACCTTTCTTAAGTTCAAATGAGATTTGCACCAGATATCATGGACAGATTTTGACTTCATTTACTGTGCTTGGTTATCTGAGAGAGAATGCAGTTTCTGTTCTAGAGGAAAGGATTTCTTCTGGAAGAAAGGGGAATCTTTCATAATGTCCTATTTACCCTGCTTGTTTACTTGAATTTTACTTGGAATTGGGTTGGCACATGGATGAAGTCAAGTTGCTTTTCAGAAAAGACTGTGTTTAATTCCCCATAACTATAGCTAATCAGTTTTAAAAGCCCTACTGATTAGCTGCGTTGTCTCCTGTTTTTATCAGTGGGTTGCTGAATGGAGTTGGAAATGAGCAGAACAAATTATAAATATCATAGCACCATCTATGGTAATGTCATCTACTGCTGTGCTAATTCTTGCTGTCCTCAGTAGTTTTGGAGAACAGCTTAAGTTTAATGTGAAAAGGATGAGTGTTGCTGTCTTTCAGCCTGTGTTTTGTGCTTCTTTACGTAGGCAGAGCGCCGGTATGAAAGTCGCCTACAGGATTTAAAGGATCGGTTAGAGCAGTCGGAGAGCACCAACCGCAGCATGCAAAACTATGTTCAGTTCCTCAAGTCTTCCTATGCCAACGTTTTTGGAGAAAGTGCCTTGCTGGGCTCCCCCAGCCGTTCTCGTTCTTCTCCATGAGGACAGTGCTGTCCTTACACCTCTGCTTTTAAGCACAAAAGGAGACCTATTTCAAAGCCATATGTTATTTAGAAAATAGGTTGGCATTTCAGGGTCATTGACAGGAGATGTTTTCCTCTTTTCCTTTCAGCATGAGATGATAAAATGATGGTGGCTTATGTCCTAAGTGTAGGGTATCAGCAATACAGGTTTGGTGTTGGAGGTTGGCATTACACCATAAACTGTGCCCCAAAACCATATGGATTTGCATATGATGGAAAAGGTCCTTTTCATCCTCCAACATCCTAATGTTTTCAGCTCTTAAAACCTGTCAGTAGTTTGTTGAGCATGTTAATGTTTATAAGAGCTCTTTTCCTTTTCATGCTTCCTTTTTCATTCTGTTTCTGTGTTGGGGAGATCATGTGCGGGTTTTTGTTTGTGTTTTTTTTTTCATATCTTTTTAAAACTATTAAACATTGTATTAATACATTTGATGTTAGGATGGTGGGAGAGGGTCCACCCACCAGAAGTGTGAAGCTGAAAATAATTTAAGTGCCTGGGCTCCACACCTACAAGATATCGCCTAAAAAACCACAGTGTTCGTAAACAGTTTTATACCAGAAATCATGATTTTGTGTTTTGGTTTTTTTTGGTTTTTTTTTTTTTAACTTGATTCTTGTATATTCCCTGATCCTCACTTTTTTTTTTCTGAGTGTGATGCTAATGTTGCTTTACTCTTCTCACCATGATTTCCTAATCCTGAATATCTCCAGGACTGAGCCAAAACCACCTGAAATCAAAGGAAAGATTGTGGTTTAACCTCAGTGGCACTTCAGTTAGAGTCTATGTGAATGCCACGTGCATTCAGGGTGTGCATGAAATACTGACTTGATCTTAAGCCAGTTAAAGAGCAGCTATGGTTACTCAACTTCTTCCTCAGACTAGCCTGCACCTTCTCCTGGAAAATCAGGTTTTCAAAGCGTTGAGTCCCTAAAACTCATGTGGTCTCTAGTGCCCTATTCCTTCCAGTAAATGGTTCTTAGGGGGGCAAAAATAAACATTGTTTTTATTTTTATCTCTTTTGTATCTTATTTATGTGCGAAGTGGTCACTGGGCAGTATTTGTCATAAATGTTTTCTAATTTAATCATTTTTTGAGAGTTTTGTAATTGTGTGTGTGTAACACTGTAAAAATCCTACAGGTGCTATGGTAAAACAAACAATAAACTACATTTTAATTGGTTATGGTGGGGAATTCCTCTTCATCGTGCTGTATCTAGGGTTTTCTGGCCCTTACTTTGGAAAAACAAACCCATGTCAGGGGTGTTGGTGCAAGGAACTATGCTCCATGGCTGGTGGCCTCTCCCCGCCCCTGCAACCCCGGGCAAATGCTGCAGTGCAGACTGGCCTCCAGCCCTCCCTCCTTCGGCTCTTCCGCGAAAATACACAAAATAAAGGCAAAAACGGCGAAGCCGCCGGTGTTTCACGGCCCTGCCCCTTCCCTCGCCCCGCGAGGCGCCTCCGGCGGGACTCGAACCTGGGAGCTGGAGTTCGGCCATAGCCCCGCCCGCCCGCCAGGGGGCAGCCGCCGCGCGGGAAGCGCGAGCAGAGGAAGGGCGCGGCGCGGGCCGCCATGGAGCCGGCCGCCATGGAACCGCGGCAGCTGCGCTGGGAGACTCTGGCGGCTCTGCGCACCTCCAGCAAGGGCCGGCTGAGCTACTGCCGCCACTGGCTCCACGATGAGGTGAGGGCTCGCCGCTGGGAGCCCCCCGGGCCGCCGCGGCTCCCGCTTTGCTGAGGGGACAGCTGTGAGGGGCTGAGGGAGGGATCCGTGGCTCGGCCTTCCAGGCGTTGCCCCAGCGGTGATACATCGACTCTTTGCCTCGTTAACAGTCAGGGCTTGAAATATATAAATCGCCCTTATGTTATCCCTGCTGCCCGCTTCTCGCGTGTTCGTGGCTGGGCCCGCCGGTGCTGGCTCCTTCGTACCGGCTGAATATTGCAGGGTTTGGGAAGGGGGTTCACAGCAGAATGTTCAAGCGTGGGGGCCCTGCTGTCCTCCCAAAGCAGGGACCCTGGGAAAAGCGTTGAAAAGCCAGAAGTAGGTAAATGGGGTACTGAGCTCCAGTTATAAAGCACCTGCTGACCCGTGCAAATGTTTTCAATGTGTGTTAATGTTTTATTGCTTTCTTGAAGTGTTCTGCATTCACAGAAAATGTTTTGTCGCTAGGATATCTTGGAAGGATGCATGTCCCCTCTTGTGCTGTCCCCTTATTCTGGCTGGGTTCTAGACAGAGTGATTGGGCAATCAGCCCAAGAAATCGCACCCTCTGGAAGTTCAACACCAAAACAATCCACTCCCCTCACAAAATCTTCTCTGGAAAAGATCGTGTCTGCTAGCCGCCAGGGCTCTTCACCACTTTCATCTACAGAGCCAAGTGAAACAAAGGTAGCTCTCTGGTTATAATCCATATATGAGCAGCTGTGAGAAAAAACACGTGAATTTGCTGTCATGAATTGTCTGATAAAGGTTGAATTGTGCTGTTAGTTTGTCAAGAAAAGCATGCTTGTTTTCAACTTTTTGTAGGATAAACAGGTAATGATAAAAGTGGTATTAAGATTTTCATGGAATAATGTTTCATAGGAAGCCAAAAGCAAACTGATTTTTTCACCATAACTAACGAAAACTTAGTTGGAGCTCTGTGTTTATATGGATTAGCAGCCTGAGATTCATCCATTTGGAGGGATAAGGTCACAGAGTAGAGTCAGGCCTGTTGTAAGAGTCTCTGAGTAACCCCCCTTGGGTTCTCTGGAGTCTCTGAAGGACAAATTTGTGTTATGGCTCTCTTTTAAGATACGAAAGGGTAGGAAGCAATGAGCAGTTGAGTTGTGGAGGTAATGAAGTTGATGAAGCACCTGAAAAGAAAGTAAATGTCCATTGCTATGCATTAAATGATGATTTCATCCCATAACAATGATACTGAGCAGCAAAGTTTTGCATCATCTTGGCCCCATTTAGACTTAAGAAATCTATTGTGAGGAAAACATCTTGGTGAAGCAGCAAGATCTGATAAAAGTTAGAGTGTCTGAAGGCTTCACCTGAAGCATGATTCAAAGCATAAACCTGGCTTGACTTCTTCCAGTGTAATATCTTCACTGAATGTAAAGAGAACATGGGGAGTCTGTGTAGCCTTTCTAGGTGACAGCCTTCATGAATGTCCGATAGGCTCTTGGTATCTGTGCTCCCAATTTTAATGATTGGGAAAAGTAATTATCCCAACCTTGTATACATGCTGGAGTATCCTAAAATGGTGAGGCTACACTACTGGGGTATATAATTCCTCTAAAAAGTTGTGCATCGATTGACTCCTTGTTTCTCTACAAATAATATGAAGTTCAGGAGACTTGATTTACCTGGTTTCTTCCATGAGTTGCTGATACTATACTCAGTCACTGATTTTGCTTATATGCTGTCCACGCAGGGAAATGATGATCTTAGTCTGTCGGAAATGGATCAAGAAGTCTTTCCAGCAGTTCTGCCCTCTAAAGTCACAGAAGTTGAAGGATGCATTCAGATGTATGAAGAGATGCACAGGTTGAAAGGAAAGGTAAAGAAAGTGTTGAGTGCGTATGTGAATGCCAGGAGAGCTACATAACCAGGTGTAACAATGATCTGATAAAATCAGGACAGTAAGTTATCCTAAATGTTGGCCCACTTTGGGCAATTTAATTTGTACTTTTTTTCTGACCAAATTCCGGTGATCGCTACATTGTGGTGCTTCTGGCAATTCTGCAATCTGCAGGAGGGGCTAAGGCAACGGCAGGAGCAGCAAGAGCAGATGGTGAGGGCAGTGTATGACCTGGCAAATGAGCAACTGAAGCGCTTCGATGAACTGAAGGAGCTAAAGCAGCATCAGGAATTCCAAGATTTGCAAGAAGTAATGGAGAAGAGGTGAGATTAGCTCGTATTCATAAAATATTATAGCATTTAATCAAAGGGAGGATTAATTCTTGTGCCTAACAATTCTATCCTAGTAACTTGTGCTTGAAAATCTTACCTGCTCCTTTTTTTACATTAGCTATCCTGTTACTGTTTGTCTTTCAGAGAAGGTCTCCTGACTGCTGTTGAGGTCTCAGTGGTTAGAAAAAGACTGTTTGTTGTGACAGTTAAAGTTCCTTTAGCTTGGCTTATTTTAAAAGTAACTTGCTGTGTGTTTGTTTGTATTTTGTCTTGTGCATGTCTTGAATCCAGTTTTTTTGTCTTTATATGTATTGTAGCTCAAAGGAGGCTCAGGGACAGCAAGAGAAGTTGAAGGAAGAACACCGACACAGAGCAAAGGTCTGAGACTTATGAGAGTTGTCTTTCATAAAAGACTGTGACTACTCAGTGGCAATTGAAAAGACCAGTTGATTTATTATACGTGTTTATTTATATGGCACCCCTGGAGTGAATATTTGCTGCATTGTTGTGGAAATACAGTAAAGGCACATGCCTTTTAGGAGCAGGAAGGATCTGTAAAGCTGTAGTTATTTAAGTATTTTATGTCTCATGTCTTTTTCTCCCCAGGTATTAAACCTAAAACTACGTGAGGCAGAGCAGCAGAGGCAGCGTCAGGAAGAGCTGGAGCGTTTGCGTAAGGAAGAGGGCCAGGAAAGATTGCGTCGCCTTTATTCAATCCAGGAGGAAGTGCTGCAGCTTAACCAGCAGATTGATCCCAATTATAGACACAAAGACTTGCCAAGAATCGATCTTTCAGCATACAGTAATCGTGGCAACCAGATCTGTGGGCTGGTGTCAGGACTCATCCGCACCACAAGTGAGGTAGAAGAGGCTCCAGGCTTGCTCTTTGGTTGTCATTCCTTCATAAAGCTTCCTGTAGTTGTCTTGAAAGGCAGCTTGTTATGAGGCCATTAAATAAAATGTCACAGAAATGTTTTTAGATATTCATCCTTTAAAACTTCTAATTTAAAAGGAGAATTCTTTTCTATGGCACTTCAGCTGTTCGCTTGAAAATGGCTTATAAAAATTCATGAGGATTTCTACAGCAGAAAGATTGAATATTAAAATACTGTAAACTCTTGATGCTTTATAGTTGCTTTTGGGGACAACCGTGGAAGCTGAGTGGATCATAAATTGTTAAATACTGAACATGTTATGGTTCTCCTATACTCATAAGCCTTTTTGCAGTAACTAGGTTTGCTTGAAAATTTTTTTCTCTATGTAAGGGTGGGATACAGACCTTAAAAATAAAACACTAGAATAAGGCTAATTCTCTGTTCCAGTTAGTCACCGCTGGCATTCTGCAGAGGAAGTTGTCTAGGCTTTGCATTGGGGTTCTGTAATACTTGTAAAGGTGTGTTATTAATTTTTGTTTTCTAAGATCTTGTGAGACCTACTCATGGACTAACATTATTTACGAATTTTATGACCAATGTTATATACAATTAAAGAAGAAAAAGATATTTTCACTAAAGTGGATAAAATGTGTAGTTGGCTCCCAGATCACCTGAATGCTAATGCTTCAAAGGCTTTTTGGTTTGTCATCAGTCTACAGATAGTGGAACAAAAGACTGATGCTATATTACCTCCTATTTTTCTTGACAGAGAGGTTTCCCTACTCAAGTAGATGTGGCCAATACTGAACGAGCACTGCAGGAGATGCGAGGGTTGATATCCAACATGCAGCAAGAGATCGCTGCAGCTGTGAAAGAAAAGAGGAGAGATGAAGAGGAAGAGAGACAAAAGCAGGAGTTACTGAAGAAAGAGCAGATGAAGGCTCAGACTCCTGACTCTGCACAGCAGTCGGGCGGAAAGCAGCAGAAGGAAGGTTGGTTAGACTTTTTTTTTATTTATTTTTTATTTTTTGTTTCCCTCCTTTCCTTCCTTACACACTCGTTTACTGTTAGGCTAAATACTACTTTGGAATCTTCCTGTTGTGACAACATACCTTCTTGTAGCCTTCACTTAGCACAACCAGCAAAATGGGTATAGGACTGCTGGCAGCAAACTTTTAAAATGAAACTGATGCAGCATAAATTGACTGTATTAACTGGAGCAAAACCTGTTCTTCCTAGACAGTGTGCCATATATTGGAATATTAGAGAATAATATTGTGCTTTTGTGCGCATGTAGATGGGTCACGTGTGATATGACAAAACATACAAGGACAGACTGCTGAAATGGCTTCCTTCTGAGAGTAAGTTAAGTCCAGATATCCTGCATATATAGCTACTAAGCTGCAA